AGGGCAAGGACAGGGCTGAGAGAGCAGCGCCACCAGGGCGGGCCATGGCGGCACTGCGAGCGGGCAGAGGAACTTACTGCAACATCCTGCAGACGTACGAGGCCTGCCCGGTCGCAGCCGCGGACGAGATGCTTCCTACGTCGGCCATGCAGGGGGCAACGCACTCACTCAGCAAGGCCTGCAGATCAAGAGAGAAAACACGGCACGATAGCTCACCTTCGGCCCAAGATTGTCCTCTATCAGAACAAGCAGGGGAGGCTCGTTCAAATAGGCCCGATTCTGTGAACCGAGTTGGCAACCGTGAGGTTTGACACTCGCGATTCATTGTTTAAATTCATCACGTCGAAACCTCGCGGTCGGCCAAGGGCTCAGCTAAAAGGTCCAGAGGACAAGGGATCACGAAAGAAGAACGAACGCGTCTACATTAACCTTCAGGGTCTGTGCCGCCGTGGAGACGACCTGGGCGTGCGGCGAGAGGAAGCAGCTCATGGCCGTGGAGAAGAGGCGGGGCAGGTGGCCCAGACACAGGGAACTCTGCAAGCTGCGGAGACAGGAACACGGGGGGGTCACTGAGGAGAAAGTCCCCCGCCCTCTGGGAGGCAGGTGTAAGGGCCTCTTTCACGCAGCCACCAATTCCTCTGCTCACTCTTTGATTTGTGAGGGACCTACCTAGACAAGTGCATGTGTGCTTTCTCCATGACAGCCAGCCAGGCCAGCAGGGGCTGAAGGTCATTTTCACTGGGAAGGTAGTCATACAGTGCCTGTGGTGAGGAAACAAACCACACAATCATACCCCAGAATAATAATAATAATAATAATAATAATAATAATAATAAACTTTATTTTATATAGCGCCTTTAAAGGTGGCTTCTCAAAGCGCTTAAAATAAAAGGCCTGACAGTAACCCAGTCCAACTGGAAACATTCCAGTTTACTTTATGCAGGGATGGGTCAGTATCTTTCTTACCGTGATTATCTGAGCATTGAGCTCGGCAGACAGTGTGGTGGGGTTTGGCTTGGCACTGAAGAGCTTATGAAAGGCTTGCATGGCACCGGCTGTCACCAGCTTAATAAAAATGTAAAAATGAAGGCTGTTATTCTTGGGGCAAACAAGTTTTTTTTACAAGACCAGACAAACACCTTTTTATTCCCGGCATCAACCTATTTTTACTTCAGACAAGCTAGCCCTTAAAAACCTCCAATGAACGACTGCTAAGCACATGACACCACTACGGCCCCCCGCCAAGGGCACAGAGAGGGAGAAACAAGGCCTCACCACGTGGCTCAGGGTCATCACCCGCAGCAGTGTCTCACAGCAGGACTTTACGGCACTGACGGGGAAGCAGGGCAGCAGGTCCTTCAGGAACCCCAGGACATGAAGGGTTGTGGTGTCCTCCTTACTGCCTGCAACAAGAAATAAACACAAACCCCTTCAAGCCCACAAGTTCAGAACAAGAGGGCTCACATTCGCACACTGCGGCCTTCCCGGAGTTACAAACCACAGTTGCACACGTCCTCGACTCTTTATCGCACAGGGGCTCAAACACTCAGAACGAAACGGCAAAGCAATCACGCACAGGACGGACTCGGAAACGCAGTCCGCCCTGGTCTGTGCAACACACTCACCACCAGCCTCCTCCATCTCCTTGATGCAGAACTTCGCAGTGGACAGAGCTGCAGGGTGGTACGCGGGAGCGCTTTCGGAGAACATGAAGTCGCTGCCCTTCAGCACGGAGCAGACGCCGTGCTGGGCCGCTTTCCGCACCTGCAACAGAGGCCGGGCATGAGCTCCTGGGAAGCCAAGGCCTGGTCTGGGCCTGGTACTGCCCAGGGCACAAGGCCCGAGGAGAAGGTGCACAGGTTTACCCTCTCCGAGAGTCGGGAAACCTGAGATATTTCACCAGCTTCCAGACCCCGGACTCTGGCACACGTTGGTTCGGCGGATTGAAATCAAGGAAAGTGAAAGGTATCATCTGTGTGACGCGCTGTAAAAGCATGTCAGATATCAAACGAAAGTATTTATACTGAAGTGCTGGTAACCGGAAAGCTCTGTAACGCTTGTCTGCAGGAGTTCTAACAGGGGAAGGGAGGCTGCTGTGGAGGGGGCCGGACGGGCAGAGGGGCACCTTTGGTTTGGAGTGCACACAGAAGCTCAGCAGCCCATGGTACACCTGCACCGTGCTGGGGTAACTCCACACGGACAGGTCCTGTTTCCGCAGCAAGGTGGCCAGGCAAGACACGACCTGCGAGGGGGAGGGGGAGAAACAGCGATGAATACCTTGACACAGTTGATATGGAGTCAAAAACGCCAACTGACTAGCCACGCTTTTGTTCAAATAGAGCCGCTGCTGTACTGATGGAAAGTCTAGGGTAAAATCAAGATGAAAAAGCTCAGAGTGTGGAAAAACACTTTGCTTTTCATGTAACCCTACATCACTCATAATCTATCCTGCGTATGGAATTATCCCGCAAAAAACTTAAGGCGGGAAAACGAAATCCCCCCCCAGGCCTGAACCTTCCAAACCCCCTAACAACCAAAAGGCCTTAAGCAATCCCCCAAAAAAACCAAAAACCCAAATATACTGGAAGCCTGTAATTGTTTTTCTTTGCTTCTGATTTCTGTATGTCCATTTAATGTACCGAATGTATGCAAACGTAAGTCCCCCAGGATAAGACAATGTGTTCAACTAAAACGTACAGCAGCACTAGCAGACGCAGGTAACGGAAGACACGCAACATTAGCCAATCCAGCTCCAAAAAGATGCACATTAACGGACATCAGCAGGATTATTAAACAGCTTTTCTGTGAAAAGCGCCACCCGTGCCCCTTGTATTTTCCTGAATGATATCCCGAGTAGGAAGCTCGTGCAGGGGAATGAACTGGCAAGAGGCCTAAACACCATCCTCTCGCTCGGCTCACCCAGCGCAGGGCAGAGGGGGACTCCTTGCTGGCGTGTGTGGACATGATGCTCATGAACACTTTAGATGTGTCGGAAAACTTCTTGATTAAGACGGGGCTTGGCACTCTGAAAAGAAAAAGACAAATTCTCAATGTTAACAAACTTGGTGAGGCTTTTAGTTTTCCCACAAACACACACGGAAACGCTACTCTTTACCTTATTGTCAGTAAACACTACGCAACAACATAATTAAGTGAACAACAGGCTAAGTGTATCTGAAGTTACAATTTTATTCTCGGGATTTACAATGCTCCCAAGGCTGTAAATGTGCAAAACCTGCAGCAGCTGAACAAACCGAAAGTGCTAGAGGAAGAACGATCCATGTGCAAACTCTCTTGGATCTTCAACGAGAGAATCACAGAACAACCCTCGGCCACTTCAAGCGACACAACTGCAGCACTCAAACCAGAACAGCGCAAGAAAGCAGTTCTGACTACAAGCAGTCAGTTCACGCTGTCCCATGCCTTCCCACAAGGTCTGAAGAGAAGAGTGCCGGTAGGAGGTACAAAATCCTGAATTCAAAGTTATTAAATGTGTTAATGGGATCACTGTTTTTAGAAACCATTAACAACCCTGTCAGGTTTTTAAAGTCAAGTGGTCACTCTGCTACAATGGTAAACATCAGCATATTTGCTTTGTGTGCCCAACGTAGCATCAAACCTTAACCATTCCCATTTTAATGAATGCACGTAACTTTTATAAGGAACGGTAAACAAGCCAGGTAGAGTCACACAAATCCCTTACCCAGGGTTCAGGCTGGGAGGAATTATTTAACTTCTGCTGATGAGGACAATGCTAATGGCCGAGCAGAGCAAGGGTCTGGTGAGCTTGAGCCCCACAGGGCTGCACTTGCAACTCCAGTGAAATGCCATGCCTGAGACTTAAAGGCGTCATCACTGACTGCTAGCACTCCTCCAATCAAAATATTGACTCCGCTGTGAGCTCACAGTGTCATCAGTGACTGCTAGCACTCCTCCAATCGATATCGACTCTGCTGTGAGCTCACAGTGTCCTCCAATCAAAATACTGACTTTGCTGTGAGCTTACAATGTCATCAGCGACTGCTAGCACTCCTCCAAGCAAAATATCGACTCTGCCGTGAGCTCACAGTGTTGTCAATGACTGCTAGCACTCCTGCAATTAATGTTTAATCTCCTGTAAGGCCACACGTCACACACATCAGCCTGCCCACCAGATCGAGTGATTCACTAACGATTCCAAACCGGGAGATTCTAAATGTTTTTCCGTTTACAGTTCAGCCCCACAGAGGAGAAAGGTTCTTACCGCTTCAAGACCAGATTTAGGAGGTAAGCCACAGCTCCCACAGACTCGCTGGATTCCACAGTCTCGAGGGTGGTCATCTAGCAGAGAGACAGAGCAACAGCCATTTCTAACACCCAGTAGCACATGGGGCGCTCCCAGTTGTCTACACATGACTTACTAAACCTGCACAAGAGAGATGGAGGCAAAGTATCTTTTCAACCCCACCTCTTGATAGCAATAAACACATATAACCTGTGCAGGAATTGGGCCAATGGAGTGTCACGCTTGATGCCAACATGATGCATCAGCTGTACCAGTGAATACCAGCAGTACCAGTGAATTGGGTCACTTTAAAGGTGAGTGTTATATTATGTTTGTTTTGGGCACAACAAACGTAATCATCAGAGGTAACGTGAACTGTTAATAATTGATAGCCAGGACAGAGGATTTCTGCATCATCAATACACAGCGTCCTTCCAGTACACAAGGGCACAAAGCAGGTCCACGTCTCACCAAAGCAGCAAAATACTCCGTCTCCGTCTCCTTCCCACCCTGAGCGCGGATCACCTCCGTCACCGCAGCCAGTACCGCGCAGATCTGGAAAACAGACCAGGGACACGCTGAACACAGACGACCTCACACAAACCCAACGCTTCCTGCACTACCTCACTTGTGAAAATAGATAAGTCTGGGATCACTCTGCAGGCAGATGAGTAAATATGAGAAACCGTCTGACATACCACTAAAATGGTTTTAAACTTACAGTTGAATGCCAAGTTAGAAAAGGGACACACTCCTGAAAAAGCTGAAACCCTCGAATGCAAGAGATAAATTCTATTGAAAACGGGGGGGTAGGCACCAGTGAGGAAGATGCGATCATGAGGAATCCTTGTCATCAGTGACGTTCTCGGAGAGCAGCAGTTTTTCTCCCACTCGTGCTCTGCTCATGTGACTAACAGCACACAACAGCCAGCTCATTTCTAGTGTACTGGATAGCAAATGACCCACCACTACTACACCTCTCATCAACGATCTCCCTTTAGTAGGATAACAAAACAACTACTAGAACTCGCCAATTGAGAATAACCGAGCATGCGATACAAAGAGCGCTCAGCCAGCTGTCTTCTGCCGCGCGGGGAATCTTTGGCACAGTCTGCTAGTGACAGGGCACAGGCTCGAACCCGGGGCAAGCTACTCAACCGGCTTCTGCCTTCCTTCTCTAGAGGCAGTAGTGCCAGACAGGTTGTGGGACTGGCGCCACACCAGCGCTTTAGAGAGCCCATGGAAATCAGGTGTCCCAGGGGAGAGGGGGTGTTATTGAAACATGTTAAAAGCATGAAACGGTAACTTAAGTTGCACTGCAAGTCTCCCAGCAAAGTGAAGAGGAGAGACGGCTGTTCCCCTCACTGTGCACTGTTACACTGCAGGCCCGGAAGCGACTGCGAGTCAAGCTGTCCAGCCTGTTTGCCAGCCCAGCAGAGGCAGGAGCGAGACGCAACCCGAGTTCACAAGCCGAGGAGAGCAGCGGTCAGGGGGACCAGCAGCCCCCAGCGCACAGGGTGAGACACAGAGCTCTGCTGAAAACCCCGAGATCACTGAAGACAATGATCCCAACCAGAGCCATTACATTCAATTACGATACATCGTTATGCGAGGGCTCTGAAGTTTTTAATGGGCACCTCCAGTCCCTGAGGGCTAGAATCTGGCAGATTTTAAAGGCACTTTTAATGGCTACTGGTTCAGACCTTAAAAACAGGCGACACGACTTGTGATCCACTCAAACCAGAGCGGAAACGAAAATCAGAGCGGCCGTCCGTTCTTGGGGGCTGTAGCTGCCCCCCCCCCGCCTGTCCCGGAGGTACCCACCTCCTTGTGAGCAGCAGAATTGGACTCCCAGAAGCGCTGCACTTTGCTGAAGGTGACGTTGGAGCAGTCAGACAGGCCGCTGAGGAACGTGCCGGAGGTCCTCTCGGAGAGCGCGGGGCCTTCCGCCGAGCAGGCACGGTCGGAGCCGCCCTCCTGCCTCTCCAGGGCCCCCACCTGCAGCTCATTGTGCAGCTTGAGGGCATCGACGGTCAGGTCACTGTTTTCTGGGAAACAAAAACAAAAAGAGCCCAGCCGAGCGGCCCGCAAAGGAGGGAACGCTTAGTTTTGGAAACAGGCCCCAGGATCAACCTGGAGAAAAAAATGGGGGGACGCACTTGCATCATTCACTCGATGAAGCGCTGTGAAGGGGCAGCAGTGTGGAGCAGGGTTAGGGTGCTGGACTTGTAACTTGAAGTGGGTTCAAACCCCAGGCGGGACTCTGCTGTTGTACCCTACTGTACTGTTTATAATCCAATTACTTCTTAAAGCTTTTAAATCATCAAGTATTTTTTTTTAAAGTCTGATGCACTGAATAGGTTCAGCTGAAAACAATACTTTCCCTGGTCCCTATAAATCAGACTATTTGTTTTATTTCATGTAAATAATTCTGGGATGAAGTCCACGCTTCGATTTTTTTTCCACTAAAATTTAAAGCTCACTGATCTACGAGCAAAATCGTCCAACACATTATACTGACGTTTTCCGTCCTAAGAGATTGGATATTCAAACGAAGTCAGTTTTGATGACAATGTGTGGCACAAGGCAGCCAGCAGTCGATTGAACTGGCTGCCAGGACAAACTTGGTAGTCGTTGTCTCTTTAAATACACACGTGGTGTTGCCGATGAGAACTAAAATTACCAATGATCTCTATTCCAAAGCAGAACAAGCGTGTATCGTTTAAGGTAAAGGAAGCAAACGATATTTGTAGATACGAGACTGTCATATATTTAGCGATATTTATAAGTTTGCGACTTACGTTCGAGAGTTTATCTAAGATTTTAAGTTTATGACATGTTATCTCACTCTTCATTTAGCTCCAGCACAGTACATGTAATACACAGGTCCCAATTCTGAAAAACACTACGTTGACAAAACAGCAGATTTCACAGTAATTTCCACCCTGGGTTACGACCGTGTACCCACGTGTTTTCCACAGGCAGGCCGGAAAGCCCCGACCTATCCTGCGCGTCAGACTGCGGGATCCTCACCTGAAGGCCGGCTAAAGAACCGGCTTCTCGCCGCCTGCCGATAGCGCCGTGTCTCCGGATTTGAATCACTGCTGTGGCCCTTTTTCCATCGCTTCAGCTTCTGTGCGGTTCCAGACCGAAGCTTCCCCGACTTCACCATCTTGTTCGGCGAACTCCGCACACAAGAACTGCTGAATTTTTGAAGAGATCACCGAGTCGCCTGTGTATCGACCGGCGTCACATGGGGGGATTCAGGCAGGCGCCAGCAGACCCACACATCTCCCTCCACAAGGTGGAGCAGCCTGCAGTACAGTACTAGGTTAGCCTACAGTGATTTCTGTAGGCACAGCAAGTGTCTTTTTGAAACCGATTTAACAACTGTATATCATAATGGACAAAAAACGGGACTCTAAATATTTTATCCTCATATCAGTAGATTAATACACTTAGAAATCCTGATTCGCACCACAAAAAAACAGACTTAAAAACATGCAGTAAAAACAGTACCAGTTCGTTTTACCAAACTAGTCCATCTGGTAGTGAGCAGGTAATGAGCAGATGAATTAATTCCTACCGTTTCCTAATTACTCCCACAAACCTTTAAATAAACCATCCTTACACTTACATAGCGCTTTTCTTTTACCCCTTGAAGTAAAAGAGCTGCCCCCCGTTCTCAGCTTTAAGTGCACTTCCCCATAATTTCCACTTGTGTCCCCTGGTTCATCTTTCACTGTTGATTCTGAAGACGTCCACTGGGTTGACTTTGTCAGCGCCTTTGAACATTGATTTCCTCATGGACCTGTGTTCAAGACTACAAAAGGTCCAGTTCCTCCAGGCTGCCAGTGTACCATATTCCTTTAAGCCCTTACACAAACCAGTCCGGGTCTAGTGCAAACCAGACATGAAACCAGTCCTTACTCCTTTACTTATATTATTTAGATGAAATAATGGGATCTTTTGCACCTGTTCAGAATGAGCAAGATATCTTACAAAAACTAAAAACCACTTGTCCTTTTGCAGCCTAGTATTGTAATTTTGAGTTATTCTGACTACCAGCCGTTCCTCCATGACTAAACAAATTACTATTTGAATCACTACACACATTTGGGATCAGACAGTTATTCCAACTTCAGATGTTTTCTAATGTCATGTTCTGTATTGGAGCTAGTATGTTGATGGCACAGCTTTCTGATGATGTATAGTTCTTAAATACATTCATGTATGAGAAATCACACGCTCAGCAGGAACCACACGCACAGGCTCAGGAAACTAGAGACAATCCTTCAAGCTTGGGATGCAAGGCAGAGCATAGAGGAGTGGATTACTTTCAGGCTGGACAGGACACCTTCATCACGACCACAAAGATTTAGAATAGCTAAGCGTAAAACTCACTCTGAAATCTAGCCCAGGACATAAGATCTGTGAGGAAGCAGAGAACTGCAATGTCTCCCTTTTTCCACAAGGATGCAAGGGGTTTAATAGTGCAGTATTGGGAGCTCTTCATTTAAATGTCTTAATGGCTAGTTTAATTAGTGTTGGGTCTAGGGAATAGGCCCATCTTGCATCCTGTGGTTCTAAAACAGGCTCTAAGTTGCTATGTGCCTTACCGGGAATAAGCAATTTTCAGACAATGGATGGTTGCCCAACAATAAACATCTCCAATGCTTGTTATACATTTTCAGTTAGGAATAACTTAAAATAGGCAAATTTGTAAACCTTCACCTCCATCTTCTCACAACCTGCAAACTATTCAAGTCTGGGCAAGACAATGTTAACAGGCAGTGTCAGTTTAGAATCAAATGGTCCAGCTTTTCCATTAGTTACGAACTGAGTAGCAATCATATGATTAATTCTACTCGGATGATTTAAGAATGATCAGGAAATATTGTGATTTAAAACTATACTTTGTTTCTTCAAGACATGCTTGGCCCATGTCCTAGTTTTTCTTACAATCACTCACCACTCACCCCTAAAGGCAGCAGAACGTCTGCAGTGCCAGCTCTGTTTCCTTTTGTTCTGTAGATTTCTTTCCACAGTCCACAAGGTGGCACTTGAGTCTAAAGGTTTAAGGCTCATCATAGCAGTTGCAGTATGTTGCAGACTTTTTAAAAGTACACTACTGGGAATAACCAAAGACAAAAAAAAAAGACAACACTACAGGAGTCACAATCTTCCATTTTAATTGACAAGTTTAAAAAAAACAAGGATGAAAATTAAATCTGCTTATAAATGTACACATCACCTGTAAAATAAAATTGTACGCATATTAAATTATCTCATTTCCTATCTTAGAATATATATTTTAAAGTTTCTAAATATACAGATTTCTATATATTTACACCCTCTTGGAAGTCATGGGATATGCTTGTTGAATTTGCATGTTTTATCAGTTTATGAGCCAGTGTTTTTATACTTGCAAATAATAGCCCAGTGAAAATAAGATGGCTTCTTGGTTTCCAGGTTCTGGACAAAGAAGTCTAATCCAGTCTCCTCCAAGTCACTACAAATATGTTCATGGCTTTATAGTCCCATGCCAAACCTGGCTTCACCTGCATTGTGTCTGGAAGCATGACACTATAAATGCAACACTTCCATAGCTCAACACAGAAGACACCGTTCATAAACCTTTGCAAAGAATGAAACTTATTTCATTAGAACTTAATTCCCCCAATCCCACACTCAGACAAAATACATTCTTACAAAGGAATTTTAATGCTGTGTGAAGCAAACGAGGAAATCACAAGTTTCCTGGAGGAAAAACAGAACACTGGTTAATCAAGTATTTTAATGGGCTCCTGCAGGACTGCAAGTGAGACCAGTGCTCCAGCAAGTGAAGTGATGCTAAAAAGGATGGAAAACATGTTATTACAATCTAAATCCTAATGGTTTGATAACCAAGACCATGAAAAACCACACAATGGTACTTCAGAGTTAGAAGACGAAAAGATCGTGGCTGTACCATGCAGTACCCTCAACCCTTACACTGTATGTGGCAGCTTGCCACTATTTAAATATTGTGCTGTTCTGTACACTAAAATTCTAAATGCAATGTTGTCTAAGATTGCACTAATTAGCAACAGCCACTTCAGTATGATTATTTCATTATGTTAATTCTAGTCACCCCTTGCTCCCGTGACTTTATTAATGCTGTCCACTAGGAAACTACTTCTTCATTTTTAACTGTTATTGTCTATGTACTGTAGTACTACGCAATGATTAATTAACCCTGGTTTGAAGGTCACTATCATATACAACATATGCATACCGCAAATCTTCCTTGTGATAAGTTAAAGTTCTTATTGAACATTAAAGATTCCAAAGAAACCCATGCAGAAAAATGACCTAATAAGAAAAACCTCACAAACTTACTGCACTTCTTGAAGAGTGCCAGCATCTTTGGGATAAAGATACAGAACCACAAGACGGTTGACCACCATGGGTTTTAATTTAAAGGTCTAGGTCTACGAATAACTTTATATGAATATTTGTGAAAGAAAAAAAAAAGATTTAAAACAATTAGGCTAAACAAACCTTTTGTCCTTAAGTTTGGAATACCCAGTTCACTCCTATGACCTACCTCAACTGTCCACTGGCAACTGCAAACACTAATGTCCCTGAACTTCTTGTCAGATGATGAAGAGTCAGCCATGTTCAGGAGTGAGTCAAAGAAGTGGAGTTTGGCTTAGAGGATGTGCCTCTAGCCTCACCAGTTATGTACTTCACAGAGGTCACAATGGAGAGTAAAAAAAGAGCTAAATCCTCATTAGTTATCCTTCATTAGAGATGGAGGAGATCTGTGATTCTTTAGACCTGGGAATAAAAATGGACCAGCAAATGACAGAGTCTGGCATTTTAGGAGGTACGCCACTAGGGAACCTGCTCTGATTTTTTACCAATCAGAACCAACCAACTTAGTCAACTCATATAATAAACCTTGCAACAATGCATAACTGGCTTTCACAAAGGTGTAAGTAAAGCACTTTGATGCAAAGACCTTGCTGAGATCAGTTTGGGATAATGTGATAATTACATGATCTTAACTTGCATATTGAACATCACACCTTTAAAATAACAGCTTATCAGAAACTGACCTTATATACCATGAGTCTCTCCATCTCAGAAATGTAGTCTGCTCTCTATAGGTCCTTTCTGGCACCAAGTGTTTAACAGGAAAGAGAATATAAAGCATGGAAAACTACTATAGGTAAACCCAAAGCATTAAATATAAGGGGAGTGATACCTTTCATAAGATCTGGACACACTGGAAATAATTTACTCTACTGATGATTAAAATGTAGTCATTAATTAAAGGCAACTATGTCATGTCTGTACAGGAACCTACTGCAATTCCTGAATCTTACCTAGTGAGTAACTCCAGCATTCCAGAATTCCATTTTCTTAAAGGCACACATCTACATTTCAGTGTGCAAAAAGCTAAACAGTTTCTTAATTAAAATTGAATCACACCTGGAGCAAGGAAGAGTCAGATTCCCAGTTCCAGAGAACACTTTTTCAACTTTGCTCTGCAGTTTCCTGGGACTGACTAATGTGCTTGTAACTCATATTTCCCTTGACAGCCTGCAAGCACAGCTGTGCAAGGACTTTGGGCTCCTTGCTGCAAGATCGGCATTTCTATCCCATGCCTTACTCCAGGTCACACAAACATTATTTTTAGACTTTTTGAACACCCAGTAGCTAGGCATGGGCGGTATACAATTGTGCCATATTCATCACTTATATTTTTCATTTATAATACGATTATGCATTTCAGCCTTGTCTCATACAAGAAGGGCACTCCGGACTGCAATGTACACTAGTAAATCTTTGACCTTGAAAGCCTCCATTGTAAGAACATTCAGCCACATTGCAGACATCTCTTTGGGGATCAAATGATGAGAGGCTAATTCTGTAGGCCAGTACATTTTTACATTTCACTTTTGTGTTTAATTGAACACACTAACAAAGAAAACTGGTAAAAAGTCTCTGTCTTTTAACTTCGCTCTCCAGAGAGATCTTGGATGGGCCCTCAGACAGCAGACTCAGTTGGTTATGGCAGGTTGGTTTACAATCACCTGGATTACAAAATCTTTCTGGATTTTGGTTTCCTGTAGGCGGGTCTTATCTGTGAGAAGCTTCCCTGAAAAGAACCAGCGTTGATGTGCTGGACTGATGTCTTCCTGGACCTGGAGCTGTTTCTTGAGCTGGCCGATGGTGTCTGCCATGCTGGCACTGAGGCGCAGGTCCTTTCCTGTGGACAGACGCACCTTGAGCTGGAACTCCTTCTTGGGGATGACCAGTGGCTCTGGGTTTTCCACAGGCTCCTCTTCGCTGCGCTCTGTAATCAAGTTGACTGGAGGGGCTAGGCAGTACACTGGCAACTGGTACCGATTCCCCAGCTCATCATAACACTCCGTCAAGGACCCTGTAAATGCCAATGAGAAGTACGAGTTGTATCTGCTGATCATCCATACATCTACCACTCTCATCCAAGTCAAAGTCACACAGGAGCTGACAAATCCCAGCAAGCAAAAGATGCAAGGCGGATACACCCTGGACGGGACATCAGTCCATCACAGGACACACACAGACGTAAACACTCACTCCTAGGGCCAATATTCCCAGAAGCCTATTAACCTTCCCGTACGTCTTTGGACAGTAGGGGGGAAAACTGGACCACCCAGAGGAAACCCAGGCAAACATGGGGAGAGCATACAAACTCCATGCAGATTAGCACCAGGTCTGGAATTGAACCCAGGGCAAAGCAGCGATGCTTACCACTGCACCACTATTACACCTTCTGTTGATCCTACTCATGGCAATATGTCAACTGTTAAACTCCTGCTATGACCATTCTTGATTTGTTTTTTCATCTTATTGGAATTCCCAGAACAAAACATAATTAGTGCATCAGGTTGTGATCTATCCCTTGGTTTTGCAACCCCAGGCCTACCTATGAAACATTGTTTTCCGTATTACATAAAAACACTGCCAGTGAATCAGTCCGTCCGTCACTAACCATGAGGCAGTGTGATGCTGGCTCCGTCCACGATTGCTTGGGCCAGCTCGTGGTCGTTGCACTCAATTGCAATGGCAGCTGCTTTTAAAGCATCCCAGATCTCTTTGCGCCCCTCAAAGGCTGGCGCTGTATCCCAGAACTCATCCCTCTTGCTGCGCAGCTGCCCCTCTGTCATTGGGTAATCACTCTTCCACTTGGGCTTGTCCTTCTTCAGCGGCTCATTGCGACCTGCAGGAAAGACACACTCCGCTGTCAAGTGACCAACAAGCAGTCGGAATAGGGAGTTCTGGCAAATTAAAATTCAAGACCAAAATATACTAAAAGCAGGTTTCTTTAAATGACCAGTCTCTAAACATTACCAAAAAAAATAATGTAATACTAGATGTACTTCTTTTCCTTTTGGAGGCTACAGTATGGTATTGTAAACCCAATCAATAATGTCTAACTCCATCTACATATTTGCTTTATTTGATGTCTACCTGACTATAAGAGGTGAAACAATTATTGTGTATCTTTGACAAAGGCTACCTTTAACCACTGATGAAGGAAAGGTGATGTGTGATAATTTGTGTAATCACAAAGTTGTAATGAAAAAGCATGAGTAAGGTTTTGATTTCATTGGTCTGGATTATTGCAAGGCTTCAGATCAAAGCATTATTTATGGTCTACTAATCAAATTCATTAAGATATTTCAGTTGGAGTAAACCAAATCAACATGTCAAGTATATGAAAATGGAAGCCTGACAGTTCTGTGGGAATAACAGTGAGGTAAAGTAGGATTGTCCTCCGAGACATGCACTGTACATTTTGGCAATTTTTGGGCAAAGTCAACTTTACTAAGGAGGATAAACAGTTACCAGGTTTGTGTACTGGAAGAAAAATGGAAAGAGCTGGTGTTACTGCCTAAGTAGATACAACAAATATATATAAAAGTAACAAGTAATAGGTTTATTCCATGCTGAAAAGAGAAGAAAGAAAACACAACGTTTCCGCCATGGAATCCGAAAATGAAGTTTTCATTTCAACACTGAACTTCGAGGTCCCCGCCTCTCAAAATCTGGAATGGCCTCTAAGCTTTACAGTTCAAGTAATGTGACCGCATTTACTGTTACTGAGAGTCCAAAGTCAAGCTCTTGCATGTTGCAGGAACTCAGATAGCACAAGAGTAAAAACAACACCTTAGAGAAACACTCAGTTCTCATTTATCAACAGTGTTCAGATTTCAGGTCCATTGTTTATCCCTATCAAACTAGGGAAAATAAGGTTTTACAGACTGCATTATGTTTCTTGCTAAAAAACTGTTATAAAAATGTTATAAATAATACGTGTGGTTTATTGTATGACAATACTGTGCAAGTTTAAAGTCCAGAAAACACGAGGGTCACATTTATTCACAATTAGTATTTTGTAGATCCTCCCCGTCAGAGAATAAAATGACTAGAGGCCTTCGGTAGTGTGTGATGAGGTTCTGGCACTTCAGGAGGAAAACTTACAAACATTCCAGTTTTACTTGGCTTAAGGCCTGGAGATTAAGATGGTCAGTGAAGAACACATTTTATTTGCATGTAATTGGGATGAATGTTTTGGATCAATGATGTGCTGGAATGTCAAGGTTCTTAGCAGAAAGAGCCAGCTGTTTGTCTGACATACTGTACCCCAATACGTGTCAAATTTAACTATTTAAATTGAATTCATGTACTTGAAATGCTGTTATGATAACAGTAAAAATTAAGTAAAATTACTCAGTCCCTAATTCATTCTGCTATGTTTCTTTTTGTTCCCCTTTCATTTGGAGTATGAATAATTCTGGAGGGCACTGCTTCTGCGTCAACATGCTGTAGGCCATTGTATCTTTAATCAGGAATAGACAGTAAAACCCAGGTGAAAGCACTCTTTAAAGTGAGAAATGTACATTTAAAAACTGAATAAAGTTTTTGTGAATGTTGGAAAATACTCAGCCTTCCCTGTTCACAAAAAAGTAATATTAAAACATTCAACAATTGTGTCTTGCCATATGCAAATCCTATGAAAAACAGTTTTGCAGTTTAAACCCCTTACTGTTTCCACAGTTTTCATGGTCAGCTGCACTATTTTATGTAACTTATGTGACTGCCTTGGGATTTCCCAGCTCAGACTCTGTACTGCCTGCAGGGTTTAGAGTCCTGACCAGAAGAAGAGCTAATGACAAGAACAGGCCATTCAGAGGGCCTGCACCACTGCTGTTGCTAAATGTCCCCGTACTGTATTCCATACACTGATAACGGAGTGTTAAAAGTATATATAATTAGTACAAAACTGGCGACTAAGCAGTTTCCATTTTACTATGTTCTGTTCACTAAGCCTAATTTTTTTAATCTACAGTACCTCATTTCTTTTGAAAGGTATAAGATCTGAATCAGTTCACCTCACATACTTCCTTGTACTGTAACTGAAGAGATTAAGTTCCTGAAATTATCGCATAAGTGAGTTATGTTGGTCTTTGCTGGACTCCAGTGCTTCTTTCTCCCTTTTATAAAGTGGTAACATGAGGATGAGGGGGCATCCTCAAGCCTTCTGGGCAGATATGCCTGTCCTTACAGTATCAAGGACCATGCAGCAAAAGTGAGCCACAGATTGCCCTAGCTTAGTCTGGAAAACTAAGCTGCTGCATGCACAAAAAGAACAGATCATCTCCATCACTAGGGCTTACATTTGAAAGGTGCAAATATGTAAGTCTCTAAGATCTTATTGCACTCTGCACAAAACATTTCACTTCATAGCTGAATATCTCGGTGAAGATGGTCAGTTATTACTTCAATTGGTTTTCTTCAACGTTTTTTTTTTTTGCCAGTAGGTAGACTTTCATTTTACAAAGATCACTGCACCAAAGGAAATCCGTCACAAGTCCCACCTCAGAATGAAGCAAAAATTATCTTCTGTATCAGATCAATAAACTAATGGATGATTTTGTGAAAATGAGCCTTGCGAACATTTAAGTAAACACAAACAATGTTGTAAGTGAGATTAATTACAGCAGAATTTATACAGGCATCAATAAGGGTCTTGGAGGATTCAGGTTGTCTTACCAAACCCACTGAGCCACAACCTCCCTAATCCATACTCCACAAAGAGATATATTGGTGATGGTACACAGGCAGCTGATAGGTATTTAGAAGGTCACTTTCAATAAAAGCAAATTAATTATAGAGCTGCGGATTACATGCTGTAATCAGGTGAGGCAGGGCAGGATTTACCCAGTCTTTCCCAGGACGCACTTTAGGTAGGTAGAGTATCACACTGCACGTTACAAGTACAGTAAGCTCAAGTAATCCAAGGGATCATTCTGAAAATGTCCACTGCAGAAATCAATTAGCACTTCATTATGTCAGACCTCTAACAGATCGTTCCCGAAACAGCACAGTTTGCCTCCTGTAAATACCAATGTTTCTAAATACCAGACTCCTTTCAAATTGAGTGAATTGCTGTAGACTCCCTTTGTGTTAAATATGCTAAACCATTCAGCCTCACACAGCCGTAAAAGACCTTGTTAAAAAACAAAACTTGTTAAAAAATGTCCTTGACAGCAAAGCCAAGCCATCACAAATTACTTTTAAATCTTATTTTTAAAAGATAAGTCAAGCAAGAAATTTCTCATTTACAAAGACCCTGAAACCCATTTATACAACAGGCGTGAGTAAAGTATCTTGCTCAGGGGTACAATAGCAGCATCTTAACCACGTGCCACAACTCTACTACACGCCACTGCCTTAAAATTGTAATTCTGCTGCTGTATATGATGGCAGTTTTGGCCAACTTTATCATATGAGGAGAACATGTGTAACTATGACTATCATGCAATCACTGGGTAACAGACGCTAAATTGAAGGGTAGGATAGTGACATCTGTTTTTAAACCTTTTCCCCAATTAAAGGCACAAGTTTCACAACAAGAGAAGTCTCCATGGCAAAAGCCATTACATCCCGATGATGGGAGCGTCGCTGGGTACTCCAGTGTTTTTAAAAGCTATATTGCTCCCCACACCGTATACTTTGGCTGCTCATCATTTCGGTTTTGCTAAAGTCCTTTAAATATAAAAAAAACACATTTGTAGAAATACCAGATCACTAAAATGGGTTTTTGGACACGAGCAGAGGTCTGGTGAGCCACAGATGGGTCATATGGCCACAGGTATAAGAACCGAAACAGCCATCCACCCCAGGCTCCAGCACTAATGTTACAAGAGCATCAAGAAGTGTGTCATCATCTCAGGAAAAACTGTTCTGTTGAATTATAGAACAGACATGTGTAAACAGAAATGGATCATTCCCTTTTGTTAAAGGAGATGGCAACATTGAGTTTAACAAGGTGCTTAGTTAATCCAAAAGTTTAAAATAGAAAATTAAAGAAACTGAAATTAAGAACATCTTACACTTGTGTCGGTGGATAATGCTATATAGCCACAAAACAAGATTGTTGTGGATACAATGACAACACAAATTGCTATCTACTGTGTCATTTTTATAAGGAAAACTGAATAAAGTTTCCCCAAAACAAAGACAACATTCTACAGCTTATTACATTCAAGAAAAAAAAATATAAATGTAGATATTTTGCACTTACAAACTCCTGGCTTTGTTTCATGAGTTTATATGGACAGTGATCGACAAAGTTGTAAGCTTTGTAATACTTATTTAGAGCTTGTGTGCTCTGGATGTCATGCAGCTGTGCTAAAGATAAAGTGGAACACTGTAGTAAGACTGCCAAAGCCTTAGAAAACATCCCAGAACTATTTTTGAGCAGATATCAACTAACCACAAACGTATGGGCCAGACATCACCGATGCTGCAGTGTTAAGAGTTATAGTAACAGCAGGCTAGAGATATACTCGAAGCGCTGTGCTCTGTAAAGTGCAGTTTTTCACACATCAAAGGAAGAGAAATCATAAGTAACACACAGAAGAAGAACAGTCACTGGTGAAATTTAAGCTTTACCCTGATCCTATTATTAACCAAGAAGCTATATATTGCTTATATCAAGTCAAAGGGGGTTAAAAAAGTTTCAACTTTTTATGTGATTTTTCCAACAATTTTTAATTTTGTGCAAGTTTTACGATGCCATACCTGTGACACCTCACCTCTAGTACTTTTTCTTCTACTAGCAATGCTGCAGTAGGACTTGGGTTACAATACGTTTTTTGTGCTTTTTAATTTAAATAGAAAACCAAAGTAGAACAATAAAAAAAACACCAGACTCAGTTTTTAAGAAGTAATCCTCATTTAATAAGAATATAAGAGAGGTTACAACTGACGGGAGGACATTGGACCCATTTAAACTGTCTGGTAGTCACTAGTAGCTGACCCAATAAATCCAACCATTTCTTGAAGGAGGCCAAAGTACTGGCTTCAACAACATGGCAGGGCAGCTTGTTCCAGACTCCCACAACCCTTTGAGAGGAAGAAGTGCCTCCTGTTCTCAGTTTCAGATGCACTTCCCTGTAGTTTCCACCTGTATGCTCTGGTTCATGTTTCACTGCTAATTCTAAAGATCTCTACAGGTAAATGCCATCAATGTCTTTGAGAGTTTTGAATATTTGGAACTACAGGTATCCTTATAGTTTGCTTTTTTCATGACTGAAAGGTTCAGCTCTTTTAGCCTGTCAGTTTAGGACATTCCTTTAATAGCACTTAGCAAGTCTTTGCCCCGGGCATTAAACCATTAGATTGCACCAGTGTCTACAGTAGTGCAAATTCTCCAGTGGAAAAAAAATTCATCCTTTCCTTCTTTTGGCACAAAGACACAATGTAGCCCCGGTCTTCAGTAAAACCAGGCAAAAGTTGGGTAAAATTCTAATGTTGTGTATCACTGTGACTTAATAACAAGTTCAAATAAAACAACTAGTACAATTAAAGCAGAATAAAAAAAACAGCAGACTTGTGGGCCTCCAAGACCAAGACTGTGATCCCTTGAGTGCAATAATGAAAGAGCTCACAGTAAGTGAAAGCAACAGTCCACCAGAACAGCTCACCTGGGGAAACCCAGTACAAACATGAGATGATTAGAAAAACTATTTGATATTTGCATTGGAAAACACTTCTAACCTTTTGCATTCCTACAATGATACTGAGGGAAAAATGATGAATAAAATAAGAGTTAATAAAAATGCATTCACATTCTCAAAAACACTACTTGTGTAGAAATGTAGCATGTAGTTGGACTACGCTTTAAGGCCAAGCTATTTGGAAAGGTCAGTGGTATGGCATTTGACATTACTCCACACCATTTAACCCTCACTGTGGACTGAAGTAGCACCTTATTTAAGGTTAAAATAATAAACATAATGTACTTTAAACTGTAGGGACAGGCCCAGCCTTTACACAGCTGACTAAGACATGTAGCCCGAGAGCAGAGAAGAGGTGGGTTGACTCTCAGCCCACATCCCTGCCAAATTATACCTTCCCACTGCCAGAAAGTTGCAATCAGGGAAACTCTAAGGTATGAATCAGAGAAGGAAAAAAAACACAACCTGACAAAATAAGCCTTCCAGTGACGAGTGCTAGACTGAAATCGAACATGTTTACACAGACCACTTAAGTGCGTATTGTCAGACTGTGAAGTTTCCTCTTCTTGATGGGCACAGGGTTGTAAGGTACTGCCAAGCAGCACTATTCCCTTTTCTGATACGAAGAATCTGGAAATCTGAATCAACAGGCAGGTGACTCAGCGGTTTGGCAGGGAAAACAGGACGACGTTATGCACTACACAGCTTTTCACGCAACTAATGGAATTGCAACAGTGCAAACGTGATATTTTTCAGACTTCTATTTTGCGATAATTTAAGTCATGCTTTTTACTGCTTTGGGTCAGCATCTGACATTTTTACTACACATGCCTACAGAGAGCCTACCCTTATTCATTTCCATACACAATGCGATCACTTAAGACATTCAAATGGTTATCAGTAAAGAGTGTCAGCTTGATGAAGAAAAACCATGAAAAGAAGCCAACGTCTACAGAATAATGAGACTACCAATATTTAAACAAAAGGCTTCAGTGTTGGGTTCCATTTAAAAACATCTGTCATAAAGCAAAATAGATGTGGAAAATACTAAACATTAGTCAAAATTACTTGTCTTTAAACTGACAAGTTCTTCTGGCTGGGCCCTTTAAGAAACAATTCACTTAAAGTGTATTTACAGGCAACGGTTAACATGTACTATTTGTATTAAACATCAAGTCTACCAGAATGATTACACGGAAAACACCTGCAGTACTATTATTTCTCAACCACTTATGTGGAATCCCAGGAGATAAAGAATATCTGATTTTGTGTGTATGAATTCCTTGTCAACAGTAAGAACAGAACAGCCAATGATGTGATTTACCCTTTATTTACTAAAACAGTGGCTGTCCAGTGAGTTCTGTAGACAGCACGTTTAGGGGCAAGTGTATACAACGTTTCCTAGCCAATGTCTAAATTTGTAATTACGCTAAGTGCTTTAGCAGCAATCCTGATCCCATCAGACCCTTTTAAAGTCAAGAGTCAAAAATAAACCGTAGCTGTAAGTCCTTGTTTGACCGGGACAGTACACCATAATCTTCGATTAATAGTACCAGGCAATTTAAAATCACATGTTGAGACATCTATTTACCTTGAGCTGTTTTCAGCTATGCTTTCTATAAATAATATACTCCTGTATTCTGCACTACATAGTGCATTATTCCCAAGCAGACATCGTTTACATAAAAACAAAACTGGGGGCAGTTTTAAAAAACATCAAAGTTCTCTCATAAAATATAGCAGGCTATGAGACTAAATGCCACGTCATTTGTAACCAAGATTAAAAGTCAGCCATTTTAAATTAAGTACAACAGGATATTAATGTTTACAGCAGAGCGCAATTCTTTAAAAAAATGCTTGTTTTATGTTGCAAATTAGTAACTAAACTGTATGCAGAAATCTTCCTGTCATTACAGGGTGCTTGTTTTGTAGATGTGTGCTCACAAAGCACAAGCTCTGAAAACACTTTTCTCAAGTCTGAACATAAAATAAGAATCTAAAGCATCCCATCGACGATTAATTATAAATGACCTCATAAAAGGAATATTTTTGAGCCACAATTTGTGAAACGATGTGCTAGAATAATAAAACCTAAGGCAAAGTCAATTGACGGATTAAATAACCTTGGAAGACTCAAGACAAGTACCAAATGCCAACTGGACTGCACTCTGCTCTACCAGGCTTTCTTCATTCTTCACACAGACCACGTAAATTACATTCATTGCAATTACAAATCAGAAATTCAGTCTGTGGAAGACCTGGCCTCAAAACTACTCAGACAGACAAAACTTTGAGTGTACATAACCAGATCCACAAAATCGTAAGAAGGAATATCAAGTCGCATCATCTGTGAAGTTGTGAAAAGTTCAAAATTCAAATGACTTTTTTTTTTGTATACCTCAGATCACCAAAAATAAGCAAAGTCACAACCCACCTCTCTGTTCTCTAGAACAGTTCATCACTGGAGCCAACGCCAGTGCATTTGATTGTGCGCATTGAGCTTATCCCGCGCCATTCTTCCTGTAGCACTACTTTCCCCCCACCATTACATTTTCAGGAAAACCTGAAGGGACTTCTACACTACAAACTCGCGGGGTCAGAACAGAGTTGTGGCTTCGCATCCAGCTGGAAACACTGCTGCTGTACCTTGAGAGAGGTACTTCACCCCACTTGCTCCGGTCCACCCAGCTGTATACAGTAAGTAAGGCTCAGCAGTGGAGGGGAGTGATCCCACAATGGACTGGGGTCCTATTGCTGTGGCCCTGGTGTGGCCTTCTCCTTTCACTCTACAAACACAAGATGCTAGAGTGTAACCTGTCACAGGCTGCTAATCAATCACCAAGCACACAGGGTGAGATTCCTACAGCCTATTCTTGATCCACTGAGGATTTAGGTAATCCACAAGAACCACAACTCATATTATCCCAAGACTAGTTCTCACCCCTTAGTAACAGGGGAGTCCAGAAAGAGACCTCAAGCTCACCGGTAAAAAGCACAGATTTTGCAAAGGAAAATCACATTTTTAAAAAAATGTACCCTGGGATTGAGGGCCGGATTACGGCATTATTATAATTCTAAAGAAAAATTGATAAATATGCAGATTTTAATCAATCCTAATTAGCTATAAAGAACCACATCGACTAGATGGGCAAGTGGCTTGCTGTGTGCAAGGGTACAGTGTTTCCTTTGTGCTGTTCTCTGGCTGTAGCACAGTGGTGCTCTGAATGGGGAAGGAGCGTCAGAGGATCTGTGACCCTGCCGGGGCAAAGCATCAGGAAGTCGCACAGAGGGCCTGGAGGAACCACTGGTCACACACGGATCCCCTGACATCCCTGTCTCGACAGGAAAGGGATATTCTGCTTTTTGCATCGAGTGTCACACTTAGAAAACATCCAAGGCTCTGCACCCGCACCGTTGCAGTTCTCGTCTGTAAAAAGTGCTCACAAGAAACACGGCAATCCTTCAGGCTCAAAGCTGCGGATGTGTCGTGACTAACCGTGTGTTAGACTGGACCCGGATTAGAGGCGATGTAAGAACACCTCACATCCACACCAGCTAAGGGACCGGGCGTGCTTGCAAGGCATTTTTCCCCATCATTATGACTGACAAACACTTCGCTGCGTAGGTCGTGGCCTCCGAAGAGTCGACTCAAACTCCCCACTCGACGAATTTCTCTTGCGAGCAGCCTCTTTTCTAAAGCCTCGTCCCTCCGCTACACTACACTACACGCTGGCCTCTTTTCGGCGTGGACTGCAGCCGCTCAACTTCCAACACTAAACAAAACATTCTCTCGCAGGAAGCGAAACTGATCACACGTCCCGGGCGGGGGGTGTCTTACCTCCACGCTTCCTCGCCCCGCTCCGGCCTGACCCCTGCGAGCTCCCCCGCTCTCTTCCCACGCAGCCTCCCATGACTGGTCAGTTACTCCGGACCCCCCATAAAGAGCTCCACGCCGTGGGGGAAGAAGAGTTCACGCCGACCCCTCCGGGAAGGGACGCGGCCCCTGGGTTCCCCGTGCGCGTCCGCGGGAGCACCGCGCCGCTCGAGACTCAGGCGCCGTTGTTGTCGTTTGAGCTCACGAGCATTCCGAGGCGCGAGCCGTAGCGGGGGGGCTCGGCAGGGACCCCCCCCGGAGCAGGACCGGCCAAACCTTCAGCCCTCGCGAGGTCACCGGCCCCGCCGCTGCAGGAAAGAAGCACTTCGGGGGTTATTTTTAAGGAGAGGGAACGCGGCTCCCCCTCTCCCGTCTCCAGTTATTTCTGGCTCAAGAGTCCGGCGGTAACTTCACTGGCACTTCTGCGGTCCCGGCTCAGCCTGCTAAGCAAACTCGTCTCTGCTCTTGTGGCACAAAAACAACTCCACAGATATGTTGTTGTTGTTTTCTTTTTTTTAAAAAAAAAATCTCTCTAGACAGTTTCCCTGCCCTCCCTAATCCCCAACCTCTCCCAGGTCGCCTCGGATTGCTCCAGGTTTAAATCCCTTTCTCCTTCCTGGTGGCAGACGGCGCTAGTGCGCCTGCGCGGCCCTGCGCGGAGCTCTGGGTAGAAACCGGCCGGTGTTGGATTTCGTCTCGTGACTGGCACCGCTGTGGTGTCAGGTAACAGGAAAGGGCTGCGGGTGTTTGTGTGCGAAATATAAATAAACAGTAGCTCGGCAAGTCCTTGTCATCTGGCGTAACAAAAATAAATCCCTGTAATCGGATCAAAAAGTGGGTGTCTGATTGTGTCGTTATTGATAAGTATCGATCACCTTTTTCTAGCAGATTACATCAAATCACATGCATGAGAACAGAAATCTCATTCTCAAACAATGTTAAAAAAATATCTTATTCCCGAAAAAAACACTGTTGCCCTAGGGGTTGTTTCTCATAGCTCTCTCAGTTAACCGGATAACACGATGACAAAAATCCGGATTTTCGGTTTCACGAAGCAAGATTGAACGGTCTAAAGTTAAATAACTATAGCAACATATCCTTCATTCTTAACCTGCTGTGAGGCAGGTTAAATCAGATTTAGCCTGACTTTGTGGTTAAGAGCTTGGCTCAGCTCAGCCCCCTATGAGAAACGACATCACTTTTCTTCAGAGATCCAGTACACAGAGCTTTGCATCAAGATTAGAGATCGCAAAATCCCTATACTGCCCGCTGATAATTTTTATCTGAAAGATACAGTTTGAATAGATAGGATATACTTTACAATCAATATCTCTTAACCACATACATTGTTAATACTGCTGGACGTAGCTGAGCGTTACAAGAAACAAACTCTCGTAGTTGAGATTATTGTGACTGGTGCAATTTTTTTTACTGTGTGGGTGATTCGGAACTCTTCAGTAAAGCGATGTGTCGTGCACCAAGGAGGCTGTCCAGGCTGATTTTTTTAAATCAGAAAATCAATTCATAGCATCAATGTACAGTTAAAAAATAAAATTCTAGCCTAAAAATATGAATATTACAAAAAACAATAAATATTATCGATCGTGTCCGATAAAAGAGATTAAACGTGTGTGCACACAATGGGTGTTGCTATACTTAGGTGTACATTATGCACAATTTCCATCATCACATCGTTTCCTATGTTATCAGAATCCATGATGTATGGTGTCACACTGGCAACATGTAAATGATTCTGTCTGAGGGTATCCTCAGCGTGCAGCACAGTATTACCACCCTTAGGAAGAGAGAGTTCTTCCCCTCCACCAGTGCTCTCTGATGACTGTCCTCCTATTCATCGCTCAACAGGGTGACAGCTCTGAAAGGCACATCATAGCCGAACATAACTCTAGTGAAACAGTGAATGCTCGGTCTGATTTTTAACATATACCTTTTTTTCTAATTTCACTGTGGTTATTTTATTTTTCGGTTATAATTAGGTCACATTTTTACCTGGCGTAAGGCTTTCTGCAATCTGGAGGAAAATGCCTCACCTATACTACTCGATCCACACTAAAAAATGTTGGAAATGTTGAATGAAGGAACACATTCTTTATGGTGTTGACGCTGATTCCTCTTCTTCAAGTGTTACTCTGCTCAAGCGTCTTCTTGTCGGATAAAATTGGAAGACGGTGTAAGAGCATTCCGCCACACTGTAGTGTACAGGACCCCAGTGCCACTGTGGATGATGTTCCTGGGTTATGTCTTGGCCTGCTGCCAGGTCCTCCCTTTGTGCTCCAGCATTGTGCTGTGTAAATGCACAAATTAGTTCTGCACAAGAACAAAATTGTGCGATTGCACCATGGCTTAAAGTGGATCTCCACTTCAGCACCATAATAATGAAAGTTAAGTAATGCCAATGCATGCATACTCACACAATTTTTTATAGTTTGTTTTATCTCTTGAGCTAGTTGATTGGATTTCATAATTAACTTCCAGATTCAGTTTTGCAAGGCGACTTCTCTGGCTTTTGCAGCAGCTACAGTGTATTTCCTTGCTTTTGCAACAGATTTTATCCTCCTAGTTTTCCAGAAAGAGGCATAATTCCTGGTCACTGGATTAAGATGCGCATTCTTTCGCCGTAGTTTTTGCTGGTATAAATGAAGGATTTGACGCTCATCCCTCCTGCATTGCACCTCTTAGTAATTTTCCTCCTGGAATGATGTTTCCTCAAACAATTTGGAACGTCTCTGGAAGTAGAGACAGCAGAGGCCTGGCAAGGGGCTTAAATTGAAGTTAACTGGAAAAATGAAGTCAGAGTTTACCTCGGTGAACCGTGAGTAATGCTGAAGTCGGTTATCGGGTTAATTCATCAAGGACAACTTGAGAGAACCCTGAATAAGTTCCAGCTGGGTCAAGTATCCCCCCTGGGTGGGACAGTATGGTCCCAGTGAGCGTGTCTGTCCAGTATCAAACCGAACCCCCTAGTTAAGGCACAGGTCCCATGTGCTGTGCGTTGTTCTGTACTGACTGAGACTCAGTCCTCTGGAAGTTGAGCTGGTTAAGATTGATTAAGTGATACAAATAGTAACACAATCAGAAGCTGCATTGATTTTCATTCTGCATTAACCTATTTGATCATTGCCTATCACTGGGTCTGTACGGGTAGATTACCACTAAGCAGCTGCTGTTCCTTATTGGCAGTAATTGATGTATTTTGCCAGGAGATAAGATCTGCTTCATACTTTCCCCTTTATTGCTGACAACATTCCTGGAACGATTTCAGGACAGTTCCTGATTTCTTTATTAACTGGGAAAATACTGTGGTCCGTATTTTCTCTGAAACGTCACCTATGATAGGAGAAATAAAAACAAAGAGTGCTTTAACTAAAGAGTATGCAGAGTGTGATAAATATAAATAAAAAAAACTCTTGGGTTAATTATTTCACATCAGGGCATAAACCCTGTAAGAAGTCTGCCAGCAGCCATATCACCCTGCAGCTCACAACTAGCAACCCACTGAACCTAAGCAGGTGTGAGCCTGGTCAGTACCTGGATGGGAGACCTCCTGGGAAAAACTAAGGTTGCTGCTGGGAGAGGTGTTAGTGGGGCCAGTGGGGGGCGCTCACCCTGTGGTCCATGTGGGTCCTAATGTCCCAGTATAGTGACGGGGACACTATACTGTAAACAGGCGCCGTCCTTCAGATGAGATGTAAAACCGAGGTCCTGACTCTCTGTGGTCATTAAAAATCCCAGGGCGCTTCTCAAAAAGAGTAGCGGTGTAACCCCGGTGTCCTGGCCAAATTTCCAATTGGCCCTTACTAATCATGGCCTCCTAATAATCCCCATCTATGAATTGGCTTAATTACTCTGCTCTCCTCCCCACTGATAGCTGATGTGTGGGGAGCGTTCTGGCGCACTATGGCTGCTGTCACATCGTCCAGGTGGGGCTGCACATTGGTGGTGGTGGAGGGGAGTCCCCATTACCTGTAAAGCGCTTTGAGTGGAGTGTCCAGAATTATTATTATTATTAATACTATAGTGACTGGTATTATTGCAGTAATTGCTCGTGATGTATCAGAACATGAGATTTCTTGCCATTTTGTTAAGGGAATCTTGACTGTAAATACTGACAAGATTCCAGATTACAGAACACAGAAGAAATATTGTTATATTGTATTTTAAAGACACAGATACCAATTCCTAGTATTCCCTACCTATCCTTTCACCTGTACCCTTTTTCCTCTTTTACATCTCTGGTTTCCTTTTTTCTTCTCCTTCCTCACTGTTTTTATATTATTGTTGGATTTTTACAGTTTGGTTAAGTCTGTCATGCCGTAATGATTGTTCACATTTGTTCATTATTGTTTATGGTACCATGTAATATTTTTTGTTCTTCCCGAAAAACCAATAAACAAATTGAACATAGAAATCCCAGACCTACAAAACTCAGAAGATCTTCCAATCGTACTGTAAGTAGACCCAAGGGATTCTGCAGCCAGTACGTGAGCTCTAACCACAGTTTGAGGAGCGTAGACTACTTCAAATATATGTTGCTTTAAATTGTGTAAATATTTGCTTTGGTAATACTTTAATTAATTGGTCATGCCAATACAGAATTTGAATTCGTCAGTAAGTTGGGTCACACAGCATCCGCGATGCTTGTTTCTCTGGAATTGTGACATGAGGCTTCCTCAAACATTTCCTGATCATATCTGCTCAACATCTGAAGCAAACTTTCAGAGCTACTACATTCTAATTGCTTCAAAAGCAGGAGTGCCCACTTCGCTGAGGACAGGGCAAAACTGCTCAAGAGCAACCCTGCACAGTGCCTTGGTCTTCGTCACGTGACAGTGGTGTTTCTACCCTGCCTTTCCTCGGCGACAGCTGCAGCGCATGCGCGCGAAGAGGAGTTTGACTTGTGGGTTGTGCATGATGGCCGCGAATGGAGCTGTGTTGCTGGGTTTGGTAGAGGAATTCGTATCGGGCCAGCAGGACAGCAAGGCTGCTGAGACTGCAACAGGTAACTGATGTAATCGATCTCGGTCTCGGCTCCTAGTGAGCTGTACGTTGAGCCTGCAGGCTGCAGCGACTATGGATGGGAGAGTCCGATGCCCAGAAAAGCGTGTGGCTGATATTCTGGGTATCTTTTTAAAGGAAACGTGATGTGTATGAACCTTGGTATAAGTGCACATCGAAGAGAAAGATCAGCCCTAATTGACATGGTCCTGTATTTATTGCACAACATGAAAGTCTCCAATACGCAGGCAGTACACAGTAGAAGACAGTTTGAGTAAAAACACACCCTACCGACACAAGCATGGACCGTTCTAGAATTTGCTTACCATGGGAAAACATTTTCTCACGTTTTTACTGGGACTAACTTTAAAACAGCGGTGCATCGCCCGGCTCTTGGGAGACTTCAGACGTCCTCTCTTTCCGGTTGTGTCGAGACAAGCGGCTCATCACGAGCAACCTGTTGGCACATGTAGCGGGTGCAGGAGCCCATCCTGGCGTAGAACTGGCGCTCTGAAGGTGTATGTAATTAATTTAAACTAAGGATACTAAGAGTAGGTATCCGCAGTGGCTCAGTAAAGAAGCCCTTATTCGGGAACTTAATTCGAACAGCCTATAGGACGGTTCCTGTTAGATGTGTTCAGACCCGTTGAAATCCAAGTCCCTTCCACAGACATGCCCCTGTGAAGAACTGCCCGCCCAGGTGCCTTGGATCAGGGACAGCGGTCAAGTACTGTGCGCTCCTCGATATTGTCAAGCTGCACAGCTCTCTCCACTCCTGGCTCAGAAATTCGTCTCGCTCTAACGCTGGAGCAAAGTCTTTATAAACACGAGCCATACCTTGGAGATCTGATGCCTACATGTTTTAAGACCTGTGAACGTCATTGTCCACATCAACTATCCACACTTGTATGCATTCTGAGGGTGCTGTGCAAGGGGATCTATCCTTCTGTTGCTCTGGACAACCTGATGTGCTCCGTTCTGACCTTACAGTGTTAACCTCTTTTATTTTTGTTTCCTAAGGAGTGAAAACCGGACTGTTTACCATATTGGAACTGGTGGAGGCCTTGGGGTAAAGTAATCTCTTACCTAATCCGTTCCATCTTCATACGCTATTTACAGTGTTAGCATAATTACGGTGTAAACACAATGTCCGTTTCCAGCCATTCTAATTAGTCCTGTCTGTCAATCCTGTAGGATCAACTGTTTTTTTTTTAGGGATTTATTTTTCAAAACATGCCCTGCACTGAATAACCTCATAATTGTTATTTTTCGTTAGACTGTCAAAAGAGTTAGGTGGAAAAGAAAAAAACAGGCTAGAAAAAGGCTGTAGAGAGGCTGATTCTTCCGGAGGCAGGTAGAAGCTGTGTAGAGTGGAGTGTCACTGGAGTTGCTGGTTTGAATCCACACCGAGCGGCACAGAGGCTCTGTGTCCGAAAGCGCCCTGCAGAGAATTGCTGTGAGCGGCTCGCCGGGGACGCAGGCTGCGTGACCGTCTCCTCCTTCCGCCAGGAGCGAGCTGACCTGTCTGTGTGCTCTTCGCAGCTGGAGCCTGACAAGCTGCGAGCCCCGGGTTCGGGCGCGGGGGGTGCAGCTGCTCTCGTGGGTGCTGCAGGAGTGCTGCGGCAGCCTCTCGGAGAAGGAGGGTGAGTTGGCACTGGTCAGCGCGCCGGGGCGGGGGGGGCGCCACGCCCGCGCTGGCGCTGCGGAGCAGACAGTGGTGTGTGTCTGTGTGTCTGTCTGTCTGTGTGTCTGTGTGTGTGTGTTGAGTTTTGGTCGGATCAAGCCAGCAACACCGTCAGAATACCGTGAAGAAAAGAGAGGGCGGTGGGTTTCACGTTCACGCTGTTCCTTCTGTGAGTGGATCCAGCGCTCTTTACGTAGAAAACACTGCGCTAATAGAAGTAGAATCTGTCTGATCTGAAGAAAGACCTAGAATGGAATATTATACAACATCAGCAGTGTTGGATTAGAGCTTTCTCAGTAGGAACATGGTTCTCTGATGTCTGATCAATACTGTACATTAAATCAGTGTAACACTTATGTACCCTGGCTAGTGTCCTTATTGATCTCTGGCTTGTATTTGCATTTTGCTTGGTTTCTACCACTGTCCTTGTATTTTGCAGCTGAAGTCCTGACAGTCTTTTACGAAAACAGACTGAAAGATCATTATGTCATAACGCCGCACGTGTTACAAGGCATTAAAGCGCTGGTAGGTGTGCAGTGTGGACAGGGCATATTCTACCTTTGCTAAGCTTTTCCTTCTGGTTTCACGTCCGGCTCTCTCACCCGCTCACTCTCACTCCGGACTCTCCGTGTTTTTAAAAGACTCAGAGCCCTGCACTGCCCCCTGGTCTGGCTGTGTCCATCCTGAAGTCTCTCTTCCAGGACATCCATGTACAGGTAGCTGCTTCACACAGACAGTGCTGTTGGTCAGTGTCTGCCTTGTGCTGTATATACTGTAAATAGACAGCAGGTAAATGTTTACAGTTTGTTTAGGTCATCTTGCAGTCTAGTTTATTAATGGGAATAGTAACTTTCATAGATGTAGCTGTATAATATGTGTAGGAGGGTAATTTTTATAAACGCCAATGACTCGATGGAAGAAAGTTCAGATTTAGTATTTTGAAGGCTTGTCTTCTGTTAAAAAGAAAAAAATACATACCAGTCATGTTCTGATCGATATCAGGCTTCGGCAAGAGCTTCAGTATACAAGCAGCTTGAGCAGTTTCACCCTGGTTGTCTCTGTGGTGTTTGTGTCAGGGCTGCTAGTGCTTATCGGAGGTGAGACCTGGGCTCAGTCTGTGTCTGTGTCCCCAGTCCCTGATGCAGGCGGAGCGCTCCTGTGTCTACAGCATCCTGTTGAACCTGATGGAGTCGCGAGAGGAAGGTGAAGGTCCATCGGGGGGGAGGCAGAGGATGAGCAGCGGCGAGGGTGTTGATCAGATGTTGATTCGCCTGCTTGTCGTCTTTTTCGTGCTGTGTGACGTCAGCGTTTTCCGACCTGCTGCCTAATGTCTATCCAAGTACCTCAGCTTTTGTGCTTTCAAGCCAAATCCAATTAATTAAGCTGATTGCTCCAAGGAGGCTGGTGCCATTATGTGCAGCTATGAAACTGAAGGACTTTTAGTCATTTTAGTATGTCTAAACCATTCCTTTAGTGAAAAGATGACTTCAGAAGTTAGTTTTCTGTGATCATGTTCCTTGTTAAAAGTTTATTTTTGGCTGGTCTTTGTTTCAGAGCTGAAGAAGTTAGGTGCAGACTTTGTCTTCGGTTTTGTTCAAGCAATTGATGGTGAGAAAGACCCCCGCAACCTCCTTCTGGCCTTTCAGATCGCAAGGAACATCCTGCACAGGGGCTACGAGCTGGGTAAGTGCTTGAACAGCAAAGAGTCCTCAAAGCACAACGCCTGGCTGTACCTGGTAAGACTGGGGCTGTAGACACTCCTCACAGCACAGCGCCTGGCTGTACCTGGTAAGACTGGGGCTGTAGACACTCCTCACAGCACAGCGCCTGGCTGTACCTGGTAAGACTGGGGCTGTAGACACTCCTCACAGCACTATAATGTACAGTATAAACAGGAGTGTCTCACACTTCATTGGCATCCAGACAGTTAAACAAATATTGAATTATACGATTTTATTTAACTTGCAATGCTCTTGATTTATATTTCAGGTGTAATAAGGGTTTTTAAACTAATGTAACAGTATGCTTACAGAACCCTATTGATTCTTTTCACATTTACTCTAACACTTTTTTTTTCATAGCGAAGCGAGCTGTGTGTCCTGATGTTGAGTTGGGGAATGTTTTACAGGGCTGTTTGCAGAGGAGCTGTTTGAAGTGACTTCCTGCTATTTTCCAATAGACTTCAGCCCAGTAAGTGTCTCCTGTCGTCCTAATGCCGTTTGACCATGTGGCCTCTGTGCTGGGCCTGTTGGACTGCGACACAGACCCTGTTTTCAAGGGGCAGCAGGCATGGTCAAATGGCTAAAAATCCTTTTTCATGAATGGTGGAACCAGGGAATGTGGAGTATTTCTGATATAAATACAGTATGCTTATTTGCTTAACTATTAATCAGTGGCTCCTCTCCTACCTCAGATACCTGTTTTTCAAACACGACCTGCTGTTGTGTTTTCCAGCCCCCTAATGACCCTCACGGAGTCACCCGCGAGCAGCTGGTCCTGGCGCTCAGGGAGGTGCTGTCCGGCACGCCGAGCTTTGCAGAGGTACGCGGTGGGGAGGTCTTTCTGCGCTGAGTGTTTTTACTCTAAACCTCAATTCAATTCAGTTTATTTTTCTATAGCGCCTTTCACAACAAGGTTGCCCCAAGGCGCTTAACAAAGCAAGTGACCGTACATGTTGTGAATACAGAACAGAAAAGACCAGAAGACAACGGAGGAGAGCAACCAGAAACTCCTCAGTAAGGAGAAAAAAAACCTCTAGGGGTCCAAAGTCAACTGGCTGCCGAACCCCTTTGGGCATGCTAACATTATATAATTAAACAAAGGAATAAATGAATGAGGGCATTAATCCATCCATCATGTCTTCTGTATGTCAGTACTTCATGTAGATCTCTGTAGACCAGCAAATTCCTCCTAAACGATAGCTATATCCACGATGTCCCTCTTGGATCCATGGCAGTGATGCAGAATCCAACTCAGATGGTGCCCAGCCCGGGCGCCATCCGGACATGTGGGGGGGAGAACCTGACCCGCATTCATTCAGGCAGGGATATGCAGGGCTAAAGACAACATCTTTGAATTCATTCCATATGAATATGAAGTCATGTTGGGCTGTTTTAAGATGAAAACGCAAAAGAACACTATTGCTTAGAAAGGCCTGTGCGAGAGTTGGGGCAGAGTGTCCAGGAATCAGGATGGCTGTGTGGCGCTTATGCAGTGTCCTGCATGTTAATCGTTTCCCTGTGTTGCCAGTTTCTGCTGCCGCTGCTCATCGAGAAGCTGGACTCGGACGTGCAGAGTGCCAAGCTGGACTCCCTGCAGACACTGGTGAGGCCTCTGACCAGCTCCACGGGCCCTGGCTCTGTCTCTGCTTGTGTCCAACTGTCTGGAACGTTCTGACAGATGGTCTGAGATCTGTTTGGACCGGCTTGTTAGTCTGTGCTGCACTGGGCTACACTGTACCGAGGTCTCTGTCGTACTGGGCTACACTGTATTGGCCTGAGCTCTGCGCTCTTCTGGGCTGAGGTCTGCTTTCTGTGTTTCAGACTGCCTGCACCTCGGTTTATGGGCACCGTGAGTTGAAGGACTTCCTACCAGGCCTCTGGTCTTCCCTGCGCAGAGAGGTAGGCATTTCAGCAGCGGGGCTCGTGGATGGGAGAGGACTCAAGAGAATCTTTTTTCAGATTCCATATCCAAACACAGAAGCCCATGTTCATATCCTCAGTCCACAGAAATAGGAGCTGCTGACTGATTCTTCATTCTGTCATGAAACAGATTTTTTAATGTGTTACAGTAAACAGTACAGAACAGTAAAAGGTTCTATTACTTAGACAAACTATACAGATCTGTTTGTGTTCCTCTGTGTACTTTGTATACATGTATACTTTTGCTAAATATAATTCTACAAAGGTTCCCTTTTATCTATTTTAAGTAATGCTTTGTGCTTTCAGGGTTGTTTTTTATAATGTGACACACCTTTCAAATGGCTTTTCTGTTTCTCAGTTAAAAACTCTCAAGAATTCACAAATGATAAAACTAGGCCCGATCTGCTTTTCACCGATAGTTGTGGCCACTGAATGTTTTTTGTCTCCTCAATCCCTACAGGTGATGCTGATCATTTGTCCTTAAGCCTGTTTATCTCACATCTCCCGCCTGCTTTATTAGCTGATATACAGTATGTGTTTATGGTTGCACGGTTATTTCTGCCAGGTGTTGAATAAGGTATCCTGACGGTGTTCTTTTCACAAAACACATGCATATAATGTACAGTAATCACTAACGTACTGTTAACCATAGGTCAATACCTGAACTAGTAAAGGCTCTCACCCCAGGGCAGGTTGATGTCTGTGACCACGGGTTCGAGCCTGGGTCACGTCACTAGCTGACTGTGACTGAGAGTCCTCAAGCAGCAGAGCTCAGGTCTGAGCACCACAGAGGGTGAGGTGGAGTTAATCAGCCGGGGCTCTTGGCTCTCAGTGACAGAGCGACCCCCATGGCCTCCTGAGCGCCTGCAGGCAGTGCAGGTCGCGCCTCTCCTGATCCTCTGGCTCCGGCATAGGCACCCCTGGTGCGTGCTGTGGGGTTTTAGAAGTCGGGGCGCATGGTGCGTTCTAAATGTCCTCCTTCAGAGAAGGCACAAGACAGCACTGCCTCCTGCGTCCAGGTTTCCACTGTTTTCTTCATTGGCCAGACGGCGTGATGATTTCGTTCAATACTGGTGTTGTCCCCCCCCCTCCCGACAGGTATTCCAGACCGCTAGCGAGAAAGTGGAGAGCGCGGGGCTGTCTGCTCTTCACAGCCTCACGGCCTGTCTCTCCCACTCCATCCTGGACTCCGACTCGGAGGACTCCCTGCACGGCTTCCTCGACCTCATTCTTAAAGGTACCTTCCTGGCTGGCCGCGTCCCTCCCGCTGGTGTGCGTTTGTGCAGTTGACCGGAGGGTCTGCCGTGACTGGGGAGTGAGCTACACAGAAAACCAATCAACTGCAACTCAAATAACCCGTATAATTAACCAGTCGAGTTATCTGTCGCTGGCAGTAATGCTATGCTTGTTTTTAATGGCCGATTTGAATTGGTTCCTGTCCTGTGGTTTATGTTCCTATAGACTGCCAGCACCACCTGTGCGAGCCAGACATGAAGCTGGTGTGGCCCAGTGCCAAACTCTTGCAAGCGGCAGCCAGCGCCTCTTACAGGGCAAGCTACAAAATTACAGCGGTCGTCATGCCTTTATTGCTGGAGCAGTACAACAGTCACACGCAGGTTAGGGATTGACACCTCCTGCTGGACACATGCTCTCTGCTACAGGACCCATCTTCAATTTTATTCCACTGTCATTGGTCAGACTGCTGTGACTGTGTTTTTGTGTGTCGTTGTTGGTCAGACTGCTGTGACTCACTGTGTTTCTGTGTGTCGTTGTTGGTCAGACTGCTGTGACTCACTGTGT